AAGGGCACTGCTTCACCAGAAATCATCCTTCAATGTTTATTTTTTTGTAGCTATCTTCAAACCATGAAGCTTTCTGTTGTTTTCAAATCCTTGCGTAGCTATCCCGCTCTTCGTGTGGTTACTGGCTCTCTACAGTCTCGTGCATTTCAGCCTGATTTCATTCCCAGGGATCCCAAATCAAAGCCCGTAAGACACAAGTATCCAGCTTTCTATGATCCTTATGGCGCTAGACCCCCATCTTCAGATAAGATCATTCGGCTTGTAGAGCAGATTGCAGCCCTGTCTCCGAAAGAGCGTAATTTTATTGGTCCCACGCTTAGAGACAGACTAAGGCATCCTATGATTCCACCAGTTTTAGTGGAGGGCATGGACTTGAGTCCTTATGGAGGGTCTGGTGCTGGGTCTTCAAAGGCTGAGAAGAAAAATGTCGAAAAAACTGCATTTGATGTCAAGTTAGTAAAGTTCGATGCTGCTGCAAAAATTAAGGTGATCAAAGAGGTTCGTGCTTTCACAAATTTGGGGTTGAAGGAAGCCAAAGATTTAGCTGAGAAAGTACCAGTTTTAATTAAGCAAGGTATCACTAAAGAAGAGGCAAATGATATTATAGAGAAGATTAAGGCTGTAGGGGGAGTTGCTGTTATGGAGTAGATTTTCACCGAGTTTTGTATGCTTTCTTTGAACTGTTATCAAAGTTCTATTGCCAGTTTTTTGCTCTGATAGACAAACAATTGTCATTCTGAAGATGTTGTTCTTGCATATTCAAAAGAATGAAACTTTCCTTGCTAGGTAGAGGAGGACCATTATGTTTTCCTTCAAATTTGGTTTTCATACTTGATATTTTGTGCTGACCCTTAATGGGATTTTGGGATACGAATGGGCCACCAGGGAAGTTGGCTTAACAGATGTCTGGTTTGTGTAAAATTGCTGGTGTATGATATTGGAATTATTGCTGATTTAGCTGTGATTGCAACTTACAGGTAGTCTGTTTGGTTCAGCATTTTAACATGGCGGCTGACTTTTCAGTGGCCGCAAATGGCCTCTGTCCATTTTTGAGATGTCCAAACAGTTACATATCAGGCTTTTGCCAGGTATGAAAATTTTGGAATTGAATTATGAACTCTCAGCATGCGATTTTCACTTAACTGATCCCCAGCAATTAACAGACCCACACTCTAGTAGATAACATATTTAGCCACTTCATGCAATATTTGAGAATTTTCTTGCGCAAATATGAGATGTGTAACCTTCATTGTTGTAGTCGAATAGCATTCCTAATTGACCAATTGTTACAGGTCAATCAGTTGATCTTAACCTGAAAGCAGTAGTAGAGTAAATAAACATGATTGTGGTCCAAGTCTTCAGTTCTTTGGCCAGATGATAGTTAATATACGATTATGGTCTTGATTGTTCAATTCTTTGGATGGATGGATGGAACTTTAGGGAAATTGTTCATTTAATAAATATGTTTGGTCTTGATTCTTCTAGAAAAGAAAGGTAAATCCTTAAAGGCGAAGGCAAGCTCTTCAAGTGTTGAACCTTGAACATGCATGTTACCTTTTTTGCTTTTGGGTGATGACAGTAGATAACATTTCCATGTGGAGCATGACCGAGAAAGACAAAGGTCTAGAGAGTGGATGACTGTGTTCATTGATTGATTTTCCATTTCCCAAGTTATTGCATTAGTTGATCTTCCAACTTGGTTAAGGTAGTGGTTGATGACGAATGAGTTGAGACTTTCCAAAAAGGATTTGCAAACGTGGATTCATAATGTGTCAATTGCGTCCCCATGTTCCAACTCTTATCCCTCTTGTGAAAAGCAAAGATTTTTCAACTTTTTTTTTTGACGTGAAAGAACTGATGGTGAAGAAAATTAAACATGAGCAATGACTTTGTTTTAACTCATCTTTCATCACAAAATCCTTAATTAACACGGCTTTTAGCATAAAACTTGGCTGCTACTACTTTTCCTCTTACCTTCCACAGAAAGTAAGCAAGAAATTGACAAATACCTCCTGCGTGCCCTCATAAGTATTATTTGGCTCGTATTCTCCCAAGATATAGGTGCCTATCAAACTATAATGCGACGCAAGAAAAATAAGAAGTAAATAACAAAAGAAATGTGAAAATAAAAGCCATAAAATCAAACTAGTATACTTACCTCTATACATAAGCTCTTTTTTTTGTTCAAATTACTCAACAGGAGTGTGCATGCATCAAATCAAATTCGGTAATTTGGAATTTTAAATTTGAAGTTTTTGGAAATTTGGACATTAGAAAATTGATCGATTTCAAATTCGATTTCACAATTCCAAATTCAATTTGAAAGTCGGTAATAACCGATTTCACCTAATTCTGTAATTATATGCAAGTTTTGCTAAACTAAATGCCAACTTTTGTATAATATAAGTGTGTAGTTATACCATAATATATAACTAACTTAATAAGACTTATTATTGTATTGTTTTATAATACTATTATAATTAGATTTATTATTATATAATATAAATTTTTATATTACATATATATTAATATATATAACACATACGAATTTGAAATTGAATATCAAATTAGGTATTCGATTCCGATTTCGCATTACGAATTCGAAATCCAAAAGTTCATTTTGAGAAAACGTATTCTCAAATTCAAACCAAATTCGTATATTTTGAAAATAAAAAAATTTGATTTCCTTTTCACTTTTCGCTTTACCGATTTCGAGAATTCCAAAATTCGAATCGAATTCGATGAAAATCGATTTTTTTTAAGTTACATGCTCCTATAACTCAGAATGAATCACTTATTATATATTTATACTCCACCTACGAAAGGACATAAGAATTTATAACTCTCTTGTAGTATAAAGCTAAGTTAAAATATCTAGCTCAAGAAAAAAAGAAAAATACACACTTACACTTTTCATATTTTTTTTCCGTCATTTCCCTAGAAACAAAACAAGCACCTTTAATGTAGTAATAATAATTTAAAAAAAATGTTCGGGGCCATTACAAAGGGCACAGTAAATATATGGGGACACAACCAAAATCAAGCCAAATTTGAGAGCAACAAAGACGCTTAAATAATCGCGCTCTCTCCCGTCAAATTAGGGTTCTTATATTCACATTTCTATTTTCTACACGCTGACAATTCACACTCTCTACCTTCACTCCTTTCCCCAACAGAATCAATAATAAAGTCGTAAGCCCATTGTGTTTGTTTACATCAGCACCATCATTCATGTAAATATGTGCTTAGTTATCTAAAAAATTGTTTTTAGCCCTTAAATGCTGGATTGCAATTCTTGTTTATTTTCTTAAGCTTCACAAGTCCTCGTGAATCTTTGGTGGCAGATGCTGTATTCTTCATTAGAGGAGTTTTTATTTCTGGGTTGGTAGTAATGCTCGTAAGTTTCAAATTTTTTAATTGCTTCTTTCTTTTTACATAATATGGTATGAATGATTGGGAATTATTCTGTGCTTAGCTATTTTTTTCATTTATTTTAAAAAATTATAGCTTGAGATATAGCAGTTGGCGGTTGTAGTCCAGTTTCAATGATTTTGTAATAATAGTGAATTATTACTGGTTATTACATTAAAAATTATGTTGTCTCTGTATTTTTTAAATTATCCCCAAAAAAAAACAATAAAAGAAGGCGATTGGGAAAGCCATAAAGGAGCCAGACACTGGTAAAGTAATTTACGGGGCCAAAGAGTAAAATCAATAAAAAAAAGACATTATTGGAAAACGGGCACTTAAATATCCGTCAGGGTTCTTATTCGCGTTTGCACATGCAGATGCTTCTCACTGTCCTTCTCTGTATTTGTTTATTCAACCCACAAAATCAACAAAAAATTGGTAAGTTCATTTGTTTGTTTATTTAGCTGTGAAGGATTTTTCCCCCTGTTAAATGGATGATTTATTTATGTTTTAATTTCTTGATCTTGATTGTAGCTTGTGAACCTTTCGTTGCTAATGCCATATTGTGTCTCTCAGGAGTTCTTTATTTCTTGGTGGTTAGCTTTTCTCCATAAAGTTTATATTTTGTTATAACAATTTGTTTCTGGTGATTGGATTTTATTTTGTGCTTAGACCTATTGAAGTTCGATGAAATTGTTAGTTCTGGAGCCTGAGTTATTTATTTTATTTTATTTTATTTTTCGGCTGGAACTGGTCTGAAACTCGAATGAAGATGGATGTAAAATTTGTTCCCTAAGATGGCTGTTAAGGTTTCTTTTGCATATGAGTCAACTATAAATGAAAATAATCCGAAAGTACTTCCACTTGTTCCTTAAGCCCTCGAATGCCTTTCCTAGTTTTTCTTTCTCCTTTGATCTATTGAGACATTGGATAGTTTGGATTTTGAACAAGAAAATCTTGCAAGGGTACTCAATATTGAATCGATTGGTATATTTTGCACATTATCTTTTCATAAGGGTTAGGTTCATTCCATAAGTCGACCACTCTCTTTAAAGATTGTTCCTTTGTAATATTTGATTGCAAGTAAGAATGCAGCCTAATACCAAACTTAATCCAAAAAAACGTTGCTTAGTATTTAATTTGTTGTATGCCTAGTCTGCCATGCTCTGGGTATATGCATGGAAGTCAATTCCTAGAATGCTACCATTTACCAAAACAGTCTTGCGTGGTCTTCTTTCCCAAAGCACATTCATGCAAAAAATATTTATCAAGCATGGTAGCCAATGGCTTCACATTGGTGGACTGAAAATTTATGAGTTGTAAACGGCTTGCAATACTGGATGTCATATTGTTGATTAGTCTTCTTATTCCAGTAGTATTTCCATATTCCAGAATGAGATGATAGTCCTTGAAAATATAAATGAGACTAACATCTTCCCCATTGCTCTTCTTAAGGTGAGAAGCTCACTGGAAATAGGATGTGAAGCATCTACACAGGAAGGAAGGATTACATTCATTTGCTGCATTTAGTGCTACAAGTGCCAAAGGGCACTGCTTCACCAGAAATCATCCTTCAGTGTTTATTTTTTTGTTGCTATCTTCAAACCATGAAGCTTTCTGTAGTTTTCAAATCCTTGCGTAGCTATCCCGCTCTTCGTGTGGTTACTGTCTCTCTACAGTCTCGTGCATTTCAGCCTGATTTCATTCCCAGGGATCCCAAATCAAAGCCCGTAAGACACAAGTATCCAGCTTTCTATGATCCTTATGGCCCTAGACCCCCACCTTCAGATAAGATCATTTGGCTTGCAGAGCAGATTGCAGCCCTGTCTCCGAAAGAGCGTAATTTTATTGGTCCCACGCTTAGAGACAGACTAAGGCATCCTAAGATTCAACCAGTTTTAGTGGAGGGCATGGACTTGGGTCCTGATGGAGGGTCTGGTGCTGGGTCTTCAAAGGCTGAGAAGAAAAAGGTCGAAAAAATTGCATTTGATGTCAAGTTAGTAAAGTTTGATGCTGTTGCAAAAATTAAGGTGATCAAAGAGGTTCGTGCTTCCACAAATTTGGGGTTGAAGGAAGCCAAAGATTTAGTTGAGAAAGTACCAGTTTTAATTAAGCAAGGTATCACTAAAGAAGAGGCAAATGATATTATAGAGAAGATCAAGGCTGTAGGGGAGTTGCTGTTATGGAGTAGATTTTCATCGAGTTTTGTATGCTTTCTTTGAACTGTTATCAAAGTTCTATTGCCAATTTTTCGCTCTGATAGAGAAACAACTGTCATTCTGAAGATATTGTTCTTGCTGTTAATCGTCAAAAGATACGAATTGCAAACAAACGGATGTTACTAATAATCTTTGAAGAGAATCCTTTCAGAAATGGCACCAAACAGGTCTGAGGTCTTAGAGCAAAATGAAGATAAAAAAGGTGAAAAGCACTGAGGAAGATGTCGGACGCACAAAAGGAGAGTATCAGACGTCCGACATCCATTGAGTATCTTCGGACGAATGAAGAACTCAGACTTGGACGTCCGAAGAAGGCAATCCAGGGCTTCTACAACTACTGATCAGGATCGGACGCTCAACACCTGAGCATCGGACTTCCGACAAGCATTGCTGCTCTTCGGACGCAACATCTTGGATGTATCGGCCGTCCGAAAGAATTAAAGAGGAACCTCCAAGTTTGCATCTTACCCTCGGACGCATGGCGAGAAGGGATCGGACGTCCTAAGTGGGTCAAGAAAATTTCTCGAACTCACTGACCTCGCTCGGACGCATAAAAACTGACTACCGGACGTCCGACAGCACCAATGGCTAGTTGACTCTTCAGATGCCTTCTACCCATTGACAGCATTAATTGAAGAATTTTCTGATCTCCTATAAAAAGAACAAAGTCAACCACCTCAGAAGAACTTTACACATTAAGTTTACATCAGATCTTGAGTGATTCAAGTGTGTGAATACTCCAAAAAGAAGATTTGTACTCTTAGTTGTGTAATCTTCTTTTAACTTTTCAAGTGTGATCTAATTTCATCAATAGTGTAGCTTTGTGAGGGTTATCCGTGTGATTGTAAAACTTCTTTGCTTGTTCGAGTGAGACTTGAGGCAAGAAGGAAATGATCCTTCGTTTGTACACAAGAGATTGGTTGAAAGTTGATCTACTGTGAAATAGCTTGATACATATACAAAGTGTTGTTCAAACTTAGTCAAGTTTGAAATTTGGTTTGCAAATTCCATCCTCTCATTTATTGTCTTGATATAAATTGCTTACTTGTTCTACTTACAAACTATTTGTACTAATCCATCAACTGGTTTTCAGTAAGGTTCCTTTGAAAAAGAAATCCAGGTCAAAGAAAAGGAGGAAAGGTGTCTCATATCTTGGCCTGATTTTTAGTTAACCTAATTCACCCCCCTCTTAGGTTGTCTTCGATCCTTACAATTGGTATCAGAACTTGGTCTCCTTGAGGCTAAGCTCAATCGGCTTGGGAGTAAAAAATGACAACCAACAATGCCATGTTCTTTGAGGGACAATCTGTCACCAGACCTCCTATGTTCAATGGGTCAAACTATGTGAGCTGGAAGGAGAGGATGATCATCTTCTTACAATCTATTGATATTGAGCTATGGTTTATTGTCAATGAATGACCGTTTGATACTTCTACTATATTGATGCAGAGACGAACAGGCCGAGATCAAAAACAAGAAGGGAACTAACTGCTGAAGACAGAACTCATCTTACTCTAAATGCCAAGGCGATGAACATTCTGTACAGTGCTTTAGACTCAAACGAATCTGTTAGAGTCAAGGGCTGCAAATCTGTAAAAGAAATCTGGGATAAATTTTGAGAAATACATGACAGAAGTGAAAATGTGAGAGAACAGAAGAAGTCCATTCTGGTCACGAAGTATGAATCCTTCAAAATAGAACCTCACGAAAATATCGACAAGATGTATTGCAGATTCAATGATCTTATTAAGGATTTAGAAGTTCTTGAGAAAGATTACTCTCTAGGTTAGAAAAACAGAAAAATTCTGAATGCTTTGTCAAAGGATTGGGAGAGCAAAGTAACTGCCATTGAGGAAGCCAAAGATCTGAACACTCTATCTATTGAATCCCTTATAAATTCATTAACCTCTTATGAGTTAAAACTCAAGTCTAAGGTGTAGGAAGAAAAGACACAAAAGTTAGAAAAAGCATAGCTCTGAAGACCTTACAAGAAGAAGATGATACAATCTCACTTGATGAAGATGACATGGAAGGTGATGACAGTGACATTGCACTCATCACACGAGGCTTCAAAAGAATATTCAAAAAGAGAAGATTCAGAAAAGGAGGACATAGCAATTCCTTTCCAAATCAGACCAACAGTTTCAGAAATAAAGGAAAGCTAGAATTCAACAAAAAGCAAACTGACAAGTGTTTTGAATGTGGCCAACCTGGACACTATGCAAATGAGTGTCCAATGGAGAAAAAGAAGGAGAACAAGGTTGAACGAAAACCAAAGTTCAACAATTTCCAAATCACCTGGAATGATTGCAACTCAGAAGGTGAAGTTGAGGAAGAAGAAGAATCTGCTCAAGTGGCTTTCATGGCCATTGGAGATGAAGAGGTAACTTAATGCAACTCTCAAACTGATAGTGATAGTGATTCTGATGAAGATGTTAATTCTTTTCTAGAAAAAATGCACAACAATTTAAAAGAATCATATGTTAGAAACAAGGAACTAAAACAGAAAGTTAGCTTTCTATTACAAGATAATGCAAATCTTTTTCAACAAAACAAGGGTCTTCAGCATGAAAATGAGAACCTGAAAAGGATTGAAACTGATGTGCTTGCTGAACTTGACAAAAGGACAAGATTCTGTAACATATTCAGAAGTGAACAATGCAGTCTAAATAGGAGGATGGATGATTTATGTCAATTGTTGCAACAAATAAAACAGACCGCCTTCAGAAAAACAACACTGAACCTCATCTTAACACTCATCAGACAAGATTGAATTATAGTAAAAATGAGTTTAATATCTACAGGAGAAGGCAAGTCAAATTTATTAAACCTGTTCATTTGATTGATCTAATAACTGTATGCAATTTTTGTTGTCAATTTGGTCACATGAGTAGCAACTGCTATGTTTAGAAAAACATGAGAAATGGAATGAGATGCATGTGGATTGTTAGACATAATGCTAACCATGAAGGACCCAAAAAGTAATGGGTACCAAACATTATATTGTGGACTTCTGTGTAGGTAAAACTGGTGAACATTGTTAAAGAATCAAAATGATTCATAGATAGTGGTTGCTCAAGACATATGACTGGTGATGCATCCCGGTTCATCAAGCTCAAGCCAAAAACAAGTGGAAAGGTTACCTTTGGAGACGATAATAAAGTCAAAACTATTGGAGTTGGTGATGTTGGTAAGAATGGTCAGACTTTTGTTCATAATGTTCTTTTAGTTGATAACTTGGGCTACAATTTGCTAAGTGTTAGCCAACTATGTGATAGGAATCTGCTTGTATTATTTAAGAAACATGAATGCCTTGTTCTTGACTCAAAGTTTAACATTATTTTCAAGGGAAAAAGAGTTAATGATATTTATGTGGTGTTTCTTGAAAAAGTTGATGCTTCTAGCCTTAGTTGTCTCAAAGTTGCAAATGAGGATCCCTGGTTATGGCACAGAAGGCTTTGTCACTTCAATATGGATTTGCTGAAAGAGATTTCCAAAAAGGACCTGATTAGAGGCTATCAAAACTCAATTTTTGTAAAGATCGCATCTGTGATGCTTGCCAATTTGAAAAACAAGTTAAGATATCTTTTAAACCAAAAAAATGTATTTCAACCTCTAAGCCCTTAGAACTTCTTCATCTTGATCTTTTTGGCCCAACTCAAACCTCAAGCCTTGGTGGGAAGAGATTCTGTTTTGTTGTTGTTGATGACTATTCTAGATACACTTGGGTGATGTTTCTTGCACATAAAGATGATGCTTTCAAAAACTTTGTTTCCCTGTTTGCAAGGTTCAAAATCTGATTGGTTTAAAAATCATAAAAATAAGAAGTGACAATGGCACAGAATTTCATTTTTGTGATTTTCCTGAATTTTGTGACAACAACGGTATTACACATGAATTTTCTATTGCAAGAGTACCTCAGCAAAATGGAGTGGTTGAGAGGAAAAATAGAACTCTTCAAGAAGCTGCTAGAACCATGCTCAGTGAATGCAATTTGCGAAAGTACTTTTGGGCTGAAACCATAAACACAGCATGTTATACCGTGAACAGAGTTCTCTTAAGACCAATTTTGAACAAAACTTCCTATGAGCTCATGTTTGACAAATAGCCTGTTGTTGGTTACTTTAAAGTCTTTGGTTGTAAATATTTTATCTTGAACATCAAGGAACATCTTGGAAAGTTTGACAAGAAATCTGATGAGGGAATTTTCTTGGGATATTGTGAAAACAAGAGAGACTTTAGAGTTTATAATCGTAGAACTCTGGTTATAGAAGAAACCATACATATCACTTTTGATGAATCTAATGGTGATACTTCCATGAGTTGCGGTGAAGATGATGATACAGGTGTTCGAGATGAACTAAAGAAGTTGACGATCAGCAATCAAGACACAGCCCCATCAGAAAATGATTCAAAGGATGATGAAAATCAAGACAGTCCTGCTAGAGAAGACAATGACAGTGATACTGAAATTCCTAGTGATTTTCCAAGAGCCTGGAAATTTGTCCAAAATCACCCCAAGGAACTTATCATTGAGGATCCATCTGAAAAGGTCAGAACACGTTCCTTTTCAAGACAATTAATAGATAACTTTGCATTGGTCTCACATTTTGAGCCCAAAAATGTTGTTGATGCATTAAAAGATGAGAACTGAATTTTAGCCATGGAAGAGGAGTTAAATCAATTTGAAAGAAACAAGGTCTGGACATTAGTTGCTAGACCACAAAATCACTCCATTATTGGCACTAAGTGGGTTTTTAGAAACAAAATGAATGACAAAGCTGAGGTAGTTAGAAATAAGGCCAGATTGGTAGCCAAGGGATACACTCAAGAAGAAGAAATAGATTTTGATGAATCTTTTACACCCGTAACTAGGTTAGAATCTATTAGAATGTTTTTAGCTTTTGCATGTTTCAAGTACTTTAAGTTATTTCAAATGGATGTTAAAAGTGTCTTCTTAAATAGTTTTATTGATCAAGAAATTTATGTTGATCAACCTCCTGGTTTTGAAAATGAAAATTATCCAAATCATGTTTTCAAACTCTCAAAAGCCTTATATGGCATAAAACAAGCTCCAAGAGCATGGTATGAACGTTTGAGTGATTTTTTGATTGAAAATGGTTTCAAAAAAGGTATAGTGGATACTACCCTTTTCACTAAACAAAGTTTGCAT